ACATGGTTGGCACAAGTCACATGTCCCCAACAAAACATTACAAGGTTGGCACAAGTCACATGTCCCCAACAAAACATTACAAGGTTGGCACAAGTCACATGTCTCCAACAAAACATTACATGGTTGGCACAAGTCACATGTCCCCAACAAAACATTACAAGGTTGGCACAAATCAAATGTCACCAACAAAACATTACATGGTTGCATAGTTGGCACACCTTGTATTCCAATATCATCTAACAACTCATGTTTTTAATGGTACAGATTGCCGTGAAATGTCCCCAACTTAACATTATCTTAATGCTGCAAGTTTCCTCCATTCAAGGACTCTAACGCCTGATAATGATAAAATTGAGGGTATTACTTTTGTTCTTTTTCATTTTTAAATACATAATTAGTAGTTAAAATAGCATCCCCTGTATAATCAAGTGCTAAAATTACAACCTAAATCGCAGTACTGTCCGAATACACTACGGTTATGGTTTTGGGTAAGTTTATGTCTTTAAACAATACAGACTTGTAACCAAGAATAATTTTGCATTTAGGTTTTTGTCCGAATACACTACAGCTAATCGTTATGGTTTTAGGTAAATTTATGTCTTCAAACGATTCTGACTTGTAACCAAGAATAATTTAGCATTTAGGTCTTTGTGCATTTATGTTTTTGTATTGCTTCACTGATCAACCTAATACTCCTGATGTTAAGTGTTCTTAAACATACATGTATGGGCGTCAGTTTACCTGTAGTTATGGGCCACACTAATTAGACCGCTATTTGGGTGGACACGTTTCATCAGACGTCAGCCCTAAGTAGGCTGGGTTAGGGTCAAAGACTCTTGTATCCCAACCAAGCCTGTAGCCTGTATGCTCTACTTGTGAGCTTTCTAACATTTCAACTGTAGGGTGCAAGCCCAATCCGACGGAAATATGTTTCTTTGTTTTTAATGTGGGTGATTAAGATCAATCCCATTAGTTTCAGTGCAAATGAACTGATCGTCACAATGCAGGGCTAACCCGCCATGTTCATGTAGATCTAAAAATAACTGACCTTTCTAAGACTATACAACGTAGGAAAACCCGGAACAACGGCGTCATTTTGTAGAAATGTTCTAAAAATAAACACGTCCCCAGTCGACCGTGTAATTAATGATGTCTGCCGCTCTTCGTCGTGACGTCATGTTGTAAGAAACGTTCACGGCAGACGGTTAGATCCGTGTCGTCTGCTGAGGGCCCCCTGTTGTGTGCAAGAATGGAAAAGCCATTTTCCGATGTCCACACCTCTATTCCTGAAAGAAAATTGATACGTTTTTGGCGTGGCTCTAAAACATGTCAATGGTAAACGTATCATTTTGCACGTATAGATTAGTGTGGCCGTTTTTTTAGATGAAAGAAGTTTTGTTTGTGAAAGAAAGAAAAATGTTTCTTAATAAGTTGTGTAATGTTTCGCGATAATACGATACATAGGCACTATTTAAGGCAGCTCTTTTATCCGGAGCCATATTGTCCACAGCCGTATTATAGATATATTATTTATTCAGTCTATGTTATATCCCCCCAAAAAAAGACGGGATTCGTGGTATCAAGAGGGATGGGCGTTAAGTGGGCGTTTAAATACTATTTTAAATCAGGTTATTTAAATATATAATAGTGTATTATGAAAGAGAAGTGGAGCCTACACACATACAAAAATAATTATGGCCTTGGATTGTCAATCAAAGATTCTCTTACAAATAAGCAACTTCTGGGTAGCATGGGGGATAGGTGGATGTGAATAGTAAGGTAGTCTCAAGGTAAACATTTTTTTTTATTTCTGAATTTGAAAATGTATTACTTTTTTAAAAAATATTAAATATCTAATTATTCAACGGTTTTAATTTTAATAGAAATTTTTTAACGTTTGCGTCTTTTAGATGACGAAATGTAAACACAATACACGTATTTCGTCCATGTCAACTATCATGTTGGGGTCCCTCTCACCAAACGTGGCAGCTGACGTGATCTTTTCAACAGGACCGATTTCTTCGGGGACCGTTTTGTCATTGACCGTAATGACGGGGGTACCGGATCATTTATTTTAGACAAAGTATGTACAGTCAGGCCAAAGAATAAAAATGGACAGAGATATTTCAACTAAAGCAGAGTGAGTGTTACGTGTCTAAGCATGCGTGTGAGTAGTTACAACGCCAAGCATCTCAAGGCTGGGATGGTAAAATAAACTTGGATTGGATCTGGGAATAGGCCTACTGAAAAATATGCATTTTATTTTTATCTTCCAATCCTCTGTTCCGCGATGCCATTCGTAAATATTGTTCTTTGCAATGTCTTTTGTAGTCATCCCTTATATGATGTCTTACGTAAGTTGTAAGAGAATAGTACAGAACGTAGAATTGAAAGTTGAAGGTATGATTTTAGCAGGCAGCTTTAGAGATACAAGGCACAGGTTTATTCTGCTGGCTAGATAAAAATGACATACCAGAGCGTTGCAATATTGGCCAATCGTTGTGAGTTTTGGCATCAGTAACATTGGGACATTTGGCGGTATCAAACGTTACGAGATAACTGAGATAAAAATGGTATGTCACGATTGTCCACAATCACGACATTGGACAGCGACAAAATTGTCCAGACACGGTCGAGTGGTAGGGAAATCTATTATTAGCCCACGGTCAAATTTATATCATACGCTCAAGTCCGTAGAGCGTCTCTGAGTCCATCCAGCTCTAATGGGTACCTGGCATTAGTCGGAGAAATTAAACTCGGCTGGTTGTACTGCTGTACCTACTATCTCTTTACATGCAAGGCTCAAAGAAACAGATGAACTCTGCTTCACCTCTCCACACCAATAAACTAGTCTGAAAGGGACACGTTTATCCAGTGTAACTACACTTTAATCAGACTACATACTTTATTGACCATTTATCTAGTGTGTACTGGTTTTTATGTAGGCGACACAATCGCTTGATGAGAACCAAATCAGACAAACAGATAAACTCTACTTCATCTACACCTCGAGCCTTGACTATCATACCAACATGTAAATATCGAAACAATGTTTTTGCTAGTAACCATGGCCTAACCATGCCCTAACCCTAGTAACAACCGGACCAAACGCCTACCCGCATCAGCCTGATAGTAATCTGACTCTACGCCCAAATCAGACACAATCATGCCGGCACAATATCGGCACGGTGCTATTTTTTTCTTCAACCGTAATTTGAATATTTGAGAGGGCGTAAAGGTAGTGAGTGACGTCATTGAATGTTCTCGTTTGATGTCAAGCGTTATTTTTTATACACCCCCTCCCTCCACTTGTCTCCCCTCCCACCAACCGCAACAGCAACCCCCACCTACCACCCACTGCCCAACTGCTGCATTTTTATCAACCTTCACATCCATCCCCTACCACCCCTCCCCCTGCCAGCAAGTCAACCGAAACCTACCCGAACACTCCCGGCTCAGTAATGTGCTGCAGCCCACAAGAAATTTTAACTCTACCCATCTAGGATGCTTTCACTATTTACATCAACCTACGCTTTTATTTTTTATTTTTTAATATTACATTATAGTCTTGGACAGTAAACACAGTAAATAAGCCTTTCAAATATCCATGTCCATTAAAGTAAAGTTGAGAGGCTATACTTTTATTGCCAATTAAGATCGAGTGGTCAGTACTATGTCCAGTCTAATATAACCTACTTCTCCAGATCTAAGTCAGGGTGACTTAAACTTTTTTGCAGGGTTGGCTCGCGAAGATCATACTATTTGGAGCCGGGTTAGCTCATTAAGATCATATTATCTGGAGTCGGGTTGGCTCATTAAGATCATACTATCTGGAGCCGAAATTCCATTTTTTCGAGAGACACCCACATTCCCTACCACCACACCCCCCCACCCCATTGTCACGTAGGGCCCGTAACTCAGAAGTTGTTTATTTCTCCTATTTCCGTTTGCAACAACCACTGCAAGATCTGCCTGATGTGTGAAACATACAACATAAACACCCGGATATTAGCTCACAAGTACATGTATGTTGTTTAAAGATGATTGATAAAGCTTGAGCAGAGTACAATATCATGTTTATGATCGGGGGGGGGGGGGGGCTTTGTGTAGTTTCAATACATAAAAGCGAAGGTGCAAAAATAACAGCAAAAACAAAAAAATTGAAAAATGTGCATTACATTCTCATATTTTTTTCTTTTACCAAAATAAAGAAACTGCATCAAAATAATAGTCATGTTGGCCTGTTACTAAAACAAAGTAAGTTGGAAACCCTCGCATTCAATAGCTACATTATAATGTTGTTGTTTTGAATCTCAATAACGCATTAATAGCTTGTTTAACAGCTTATCCTAATTACTCCAACGAGTGTATGTAAAGCTAAGGCACACATTTTACAATTTAGTAGACCCATTATTTATTTATTTATTTTTTTGCGCAAAACTAAGAAATATGCCTACTTTAAATAATATGTACATTTATAAAAGTAAGTTATTTTTTTTTTAAATTAAAAGAAATTATTAAAAATACAAATAGGCTCTACCCCTACATGACAAAAAAATTGTTTCAACTATGAAACAAGCTTTATAAATAGAATTCTATGTATAAAAAAATACTCAAACGCTTTCTCTAATTTTTATCTCACTTGTGGGCGATTGATATGTGGCTATGTGTAAAGAGATGGGATGGGGGCGATGGGATAGATATTTTTTTTTACCCAGCCATCATTTCTACAACCCGGATTTTGCCACGGTGGCCAGATTTTCAAAGCGTTTGTGACTAAAAAATTTCTCGTTATTAGTAATCCCTACCAAAGTATTCCTGCGTCATAGTGTTGGATAGGCGGCTATGATGGTGACCTTTTGCAATTATCTTTTTTGTTTCATTACTACCTTTGGCCAGGTAAGGCTCAGCACAACACGTAATGTTGCAGCCGATAAGATACTGTGGCTGATGTTTGTTTCGAGATTAGACGAAATGTAGGTGTGTTAATGGACAGTACTTTAATATGGAAAGAAAACATTAAACCGTTCTTTAGTTTTTTCAATTATTTCAGTGATTTTATTCAGTTTTTGTGACAGAGTCTGTTTTAAAAAATAAAAAAGTTTATAAATATTTTTCAGGTAGGCCTATATGTTATAATTATTGCTTTTAAAGAAATAGTGAATTTAACTTTTTTTTTTTAAATCGGACATAATTGCTTTTCATACACAAAAGAAAGAAATATTGTGCGACTATTGTGTTTTGTGTTTTGCCTCAAGTGAGTTATTTATTTTTCTAACAGAGTTAATCTTTAAGCCCAATTCAGAACAGACAGATTAAGGATCAACACGACAGAGAGATTAACGTGAATCGACAATGCGAAGACAGCCCAAGTTAGCTGTAAGGCAGGGTTGATGCGGTGTGTCATTCAAGCGGAACAGCTTTCAAACGGACTGGATATTGTGGATTGAGGTGGTAAAGTTGACTGGATATTGTGGATTGAGGTGTTAAAGTTGACTGGATACATCCGTGGATTTGGATTGTTCTGACAAGACAAGATGGAGTACATGCTCCCCGCGCCCCTGACCGACATCACGGAGGAGCCGGAGGATGTCTCAGAGATCACGTCAAGACGGGGGTGAGTACAGCTGTTTACGGCTCTCGTGATGTGGGAGTAGGTCTTTTCTACCGATTTCATGATGTGAGAGTAGGTCTTTTCTACGGTTTTCATGATGGGAGAAGGTCTTTAGTTATGGCTCTCACGACGAGTGAGTAGGTCTTTTTCTTACGGCTTTCGTGATGTGAGGAGGTCTTTTTACGGCTCCTATGATGGGGTAGGTATTTTGTTACGGCTCTCATGATGTGAGTAGGTCTTTTTCTTTCAGCTCTCATGATGTAGGTCTTTTTACGGCTATCGTGATTGGATTAGGTCTTTTTTTTCTACGGCTCTCATCAGTAAGTAGGTTTTTGTTTACAGCTCTTATGAGTACGTTTTTTTTTATGGCTCTTATGGCGTGAAAAGCCTCTTTTAACGCTTCTCATGAGTGAGTAGGCCTTTATTATTGCTCTCGTGATGTAAGTCTTTGTTTAACTGATCTTATGATGGGCAAGTCTTTTTACAGGCTGTAATGATGAGTGAGTAAGTCTTTACGGCTCCCATGATATGAGTATGTCTGTGTTTACAGCCTTCTTAATAAGTAGGTAGCTATTTCTTTACGGCTGCCTCTGTGAGGAATTCTTACTTAATTTTCTCCTAATTTTACGTACATCTTTCAAAGTGGGAGACTTTTATTTGCGGCCCTTACAATTTTTGCTTTTGTATTCATGATCAGACGCTCACATAAAGTTGGTAAAGTAACATGTATGGTTATTTTTAGATCTTAATTACATTCTGTAGCCCTTTACTTTGACATTACATACAATCTATTTTTGGACACTAAGACTTTAGTCATAATAAAGCGTGACGTAATGCACACTTGAAGTGTTTGACCACTATGATAGATAAAGCAGCTGTAGATGTTGTTCCTTAATAGACCTCGTTCTACTAACTTTTCATTTGTTTGTTTTTTTAACACCGTTGTTTCAAAATCTGGTAATTTAAAACTAAAATCGTTAGCGCGTTCATTGTTGTTAAGTCTCCAAAATTTTGAGTTTGGTATATATAATTATGGTGTAGTTATTATTAAATATACTTTTCTATTTTCCAAAAAATATAATGAGACATCTGATATTTTCTACGCTAAATAGTGGACCCGATTTTACTTACTTCACTCCCCCCCCCCCCCCACTCCATCACAGCTCTGTACAAATGTAAGATCTATCACTATCAATAAACTTGCAACTTTACAATTTTGATCATTCCGAGTCTTTTTCTTGATTTCTTAAACTCTTAAACGTGCTGTAAGAATTCCAAACGCATACTAAACAACAGCAAACACAAAATCTACACATATAAAGACGCCTACCATTATATTTGGCTCTTTTTCGTATGTGACGGTCAATAGTGTAGATGAAGTAGAGCTCACCCAACGGTATGCCCAGACACTAATTTCCCCCCCCCCCAAACTTAGGTAAGGTACCCATTAGAGCTGGGTAGACTCATGGACGGCTTATGGACTTAGACTAAATGGAACTCCAGACCTTCTGATTAGTAAATTAATCGTGTGACTCAACAACATGGAACAATGATGTTTCTATTGTAATAAAAAAAATACACTCATGGGTGAAAAATATACATTTGGATAGTGTGGTATAAGTCTTCTTATGTTATACGTACTCAGTGCACTCAAATATTAGTAAATTATGTTTTAAAACTATGCGATTCTGCTATACAACAATGATCTAATCTGTTTTTTTTTTACCTTCTACCGTTTCAACAAACTCTACGGTTGGAGTTCTTTTCTTGATGTTCTTACATTTATTTTTCGCAACGTAACATTTAAAAATCATTTCGTCTTTTTGTTTAAGTAATTTACTACCGGAACTGACAGCTTCTCAAAGAACCACATTTTCAAACTTTAA